ACACGTTTACTTTATAAATCCATGGATGTACAGCCTGTCTAGATGATGGTGACTTTGTCGAAAAGAAAATTTTATTCGCTGTAACTACCTGAAGTGTATGAGGTCGAGAGGATATACCATCTAGTAACCACTTATTATTGTCTCATGTGGATTTTACGGGAGAAGACAAAAGATTTTCTAACGGAATTTTTCTTTTACTAAAGGAAAACTCGCCATATTTATATATTTTAATCCATATTAAAGGTTGGCTAGGTGATTGGATAATAAAATTGTTCGGAATGAAAAATTTTTATGACGAGGTAATTTCCTGACGGCAGGTTTGAGGAATGAACATTGCTACCTTTGCTCCAAAGGGTTGATCTCCGACGAAATCTCAGCTAGGTACGGATACAGATGGCTCGTTTCGCATATGCCAGTTTACGCCGTCTCTGGCTTAGTAGACGTGATATCCGACTATCAACCAAAGGGCGTGTGTACTGCTCAACAGTGCGCTTCGTCCTCCTTTATGGCTGTGAGACCTGGCCATTGAGAGCGGAAGACATGAAAAGATTATCTGTCTTCGATCATAGGTGTCTGCGTTCTATCTCCCGTGTTAGTTGGTGGTATAATAAGGTGAGCAATATTGAGGTTAGGCGTCGAGTGCTAGGTAAGGCGGGGAAATCAGTCGAGGAAACTGTGAAATTACATCGACTGAGATGGTTAGGACATGTGTCACGCATGCATGCCTAGTCATCGCCTTCCTCAACAATCGGCAATGTTAGCTGATATGGGGCCAGGTTGGAAAAGAGCTAGCAGCGGTCAAACCAAAACATGGCTTCACCATTCAATGAAATCTACAACAGTTAGTCTGAGCCACGCAGGGAGGTGTAGACTTCCTGACTGGTTGGGGTCCTCGGGATGGTAAAAACCAATGGTTGGAAACAATTGGTGACATGGCTCAAAATCATTCTCAATGGCTGGCTGGCGCAGATGCATCCACTCCTTGTGACTCATGATTTCCAATGAAACTGTTTTGTTCTTCGTTATTACTATTCCTCTGTCTTACACCTCTGTTTACTGTCTATATTATGCATTTCACCTGCTTTCTTCTCTTGCTTTGTGTGCTATGAGGAGGGAGTGTGGCGACTTGAACTGGCGCACATATGTGCAAAGTTCTATGTCGAAAACCGACCGACTGACCTCTGCAGTCACTGACTTCAAATATTCTCAATTTTTTCTCTGCTCCCTATCCAACTGTATCTATCTACTACTGATAAGTCTTGTCAGTAGCACACACACAACACGGTTACTTTTTTTGATGGGAAGTTGCACTATCTATTTTCCCTAAATAAAAATCGATGAGTAATTCGAATTGAGGCTACCAACATTATCTACAATAAGCAACCGGCGGAATTGTTTTTAACTGATTAAAAATGCCCATTAAAATTTTCAAAAGAATAGACGGGGAACAAAGAGTACTCTTTTCGATAAATTCATCATCAATTTCTACAATTATATATACATTATAGTGAACGAATGAATTAGTGTTATGAACAACATTAATGCTTCTGTTTAAATAACATCAAATCAATAATATTGATAAATTACAGCTGAACAGCATCAACATAAAATAAACTGAATGTCAGGAGAATGAGGAAAGGTAATAGTACAAATTCATGAGTTTATAGTCTCTACTGAGGGCCAGAGCAGTAGTAGGGACTGGACTTGTTTCTTTTGGACACAGAGCACTGGTTGTCTGAGGCGAATTACAATAGCCTCTGCTGTTTGGAGCATGCGGTGCCTGGACGATTTTGGTAGTTTGGTAGGAACCCGGTATATTATGGTGAAGGATTCGTCTACGCTGGCTTTGTGACCGGTTTGCACCAGATGGTCTAATATCGAGCTGTTAATAGTTTTAACTACACCTTTACTTAGCCATAGTGGGATATGTTCTCGAGCATGAACAATCAAGTTCCTAGAGCAACGGCCAACATAACTCGCTCAACAAGTGCAGTTGAATTGATAAATACAATTTGAAGTGGCCAGCTAGTCTAGGTACTTCATCTTTCAGTCGAGGTAGCACCATCGGTTGTGTAGAGAATAATACGTGTAGTTCGCCAGCATTAAAAGTTCTTTGAACTGATTTTCTAATTTCTTCGTAATTATCTCGCTTGGTTTATCGCCCATGAATCGCAGTGGTATATAAAGTGGCTTCTTGTTTACAGATAGTGGGTAGTACTTTTCGGCTTTCTTTGTCATATATTTCTTGATAAATTTGTCAGGATAAGCATTTTCGATTAAAGTATCATATACCATGCTTAATTCATCTTTAATTACTTCTTCAGAGCATATAGCTCTAACTAACTCTGTGGCTAGGGGTCTTCACTAAATTCCTTTTGTATTTGATGGGAATGAAGCTGTGAAAGTGTGTATATTGTCCCGTCCAAGTACTTTTTCTATGTAGATTTCTTTCTATGCTACCATCTGGTTTTCTTGTAAGGAGGACGGGTATCTACAAAGGCAATTCTGTCTTGGGATTCCTCTTGGCATGTGAATTTCAAAGTGGAGAATGTACTTCATTGAATTCAGTAATTATTGTACTCCTATCGGAACCATTATAACAAAGAATAAAGGTATCATCCATATATCGGCAATAAAATGAGAGCTTACTGATAAGGTTGTTCAGAGGTCCATTTTCTAGCTTACTTAGAAAGAAATCAGCCAGAAATTGTTTTTAATTCTAGATTGTGAAGCAAACTCTGCATAATCCATCTGTGCTTGAATTCTCCTCATACTATCTGGAATAAGATGAAAAAAGGCTTAAGAATAATTCGAAATAATAATAACACGAATTCTTTTGTTTTGTTTAGAGAAACGTGAACTATATCGATCAGTTACTAGGGTGTGGCCATTCTTGTTTTGTCTCACTTGGACTCCTCCCTAGTGTTTTAATAGCATTACTAGGCGTCAAATCGACGTCAAATCTAAGATGGGATACAACTTTCCCCAGACTATAGATACTATTTTATATATATTTATTTTATTATAGCTTGATTTCACAAGTATGAAATTTTCAGCGTGTGATATCGGTAGCCCAAATTTAGCAGGCCGACCATAGATATCAGGTGTGCGTCGGCGGGGGATCGAACCTTGGACCATGTGCATGGTCAAATCGGTGTCAAATCTAAGATGGGATGCAAGTTTCCCCAAACTACAAATACTAACGGAAATATAATACATAGTGTTCAGTGAATAGTCAGTCTCTTTTCGGCGGCAAATTCGTTCACTTAGCTCTGCAATAACAAATATATATATGCTTATTTTTCTTTGTGTGTGTGTGTTTACACTAAGTTTGTCTGATAAGAATAATAACAAGCTAGGGTTATTGTTGTGAAGACATTTCAAAAATGTGATGAGCAATCAAATTGTAGCTGGAGAGGGGGTTCGGGGTGAAGATTATTGTTGTTACTGTTAATCAACGCATAACAGAAGTTGAATAAGCTCAAGACAGTTACGCAGTAAGATCAATAAATAGTTCAATGAGTGAAGTGTGATTAGCGTGCACATAGAAACGAAGGAAAATATGGAATTATGTAAGAGTTCTAGGAAAACTACAAATATTATGAGGAGCTAGAAGAAAAGGAAATAAGCACACAAACAAACATCAAGTGAGTAGAAGTCAACATGGTTGTTACGATGATAGTAGAAGTGGTTCAATGATTTCCTTATGCCTGCATAACTCTTTTTTTTCTAACTCAATGAATGAATGGCTAAGACTTCTGCACATTACAGAGGAGATGAAAGCGTATTGTGTTTGGTAGGTTGTTCTTCACCTTGGAGATCACTTTGAAGCAGTAGGAGTTGTTTGTTGTGATGGAATGACCAGTCTGGTTGACAAGGTGTTCGATGATGGTCGCACTCTTGATGTATCCACTATGTCGATTTTGCAGTTGTTTTGTGGATTAGTGTTCTTGAATCTTTTTGAACAGGATACGCGTCGGACGACCAATGCACGTGGCTGGTTCCACAACAACAGGTGAACTGATGTACGCACACAGAGGTTGCCAGATGAGAGATCTTGTCCTTGAGGTTTCTGTTGGTGCTTCTGCAAAGAAAGTTTTTCTCAAAGATGCTGAAATTCTCTTGAAGATATCCCTAGCTAAGTCTCCCTTGAAATCCATATTCATGTGAAGTATCTCTTTTGGAAGAAGTGGTATTTCGTTCCTGTAGACCTTTGATTTGATATTATTTTCGACGAATTTTGTTGGGTATCCATTTTGGATGATGGTTTCTTTTAGATTAATAACTATGTTTTTTGATATCACCTCACCACTACCCTTTCACCAATCTTCCCCCGCAACCCCTTTAGTTACAGTTTCATTACTCATCGCATATTTGAAATGTCTTGCCAACAATAACGCTAACTTATTTTTATTCTTATCGGACAAACTTAATGTACACACACATACAAAAATAAGCATGTATATATAATTGCTAGTGTACAGATGAGTGAATGAATTTGCCGCCGAAAAGAAACTGGACGGTTTCATCATGAGCTGACATCAGTTAGAGAAATATTGGAAAACCTGCAGGGAGTACTGGACAGCCAGCTGTTTCTTTAGCCTAGTTTGGGACTCCTCATCAGTACGCACCCACCGTAGGGTACAGCAAGCAGGTTGAAGATGAGGCAGTAACTCACTCATCGAAGACGACACTGCGAAATGGTCGCGCTTTGTCGTGCGTGAATTGGCAGGAGTTAGAATTCATGTAGTGACTGGCCATTGGATCGAATTCCAGTGGCTCAATGGTCTACGAGCTAGCTCGCCTTGTAACCAGAAGGTCCTTTGCTTGAACCCCGGCGGGTGCGAACTGGTGAAGAGTCCCAAACCAGGACGAAACAGCTGGCTTTCCAATGGTTCTCTAACTAATATCAGCTCATGATAAAATTATCATATTACCTAAGGGTATAGAAATATACACTACTCATCAGAATAAAAAACTTAACATTATTATTATCTTACTTTGAAAAAATTATGATACATATAATAATGATAAGATTGTGGATGTTCATGCGATAAATCGATATATTCATCCATATTAAAAGTTTTCACATAACGAAAACTAAGCTTGCCCTCGTGATGATAATCAACCAATCGCTGGTACATACCGACCACAGTGGAACCAGTTGGTAGACCAAGTGTAAAATGACGAGATTCTGAAGGCTGGAATTCAAGTATCCTTTTCATGATATATTTTGCAGCCCAATTTGTGACTGCTTCCGGATCTTCAAGAATTATTAAACGAATTATGAACAGGTTGCTGCTGCAGTTATCTGTGTGGAAAACAAAAACAAAGAAAAATAAGGGGTTAGAATAAAAGCGAAATTATTCAACAACAACAACAACGAATGTATTATTATATTACTATTGTCCCTTGGGTTCCTAGTGGAACATAGGGCTTCAACTGCACGCCTCCACTTGCTTCTGCTGTACTTTTCACCTGCGTCCATGTTAATCCATACTGTTTCAATTCCTCTTTGCACGATCTCCCCCATGTATTCCTTGGACCTCCCACTCGCCGCTTCCCTTTCGGATTCCACTCGAACGATGGCCTGATCTTCAGTACAGAACGAAGACAGCTGTTGATAAAGGTTTCCAACCTGTTGGAAGTATTCTTTGTGACCCGCCAAGTTTCTGATCCGTATAGAAGAACTGACTGACTTGACGTTTGTATTGAAAATCCGAATTTTGTTGTTGAGAGTGGCTGAGTGACGAAGATTTCCAGATTGGTTTTAAGTTGCTGAATGTGTTTCTCGCCTTCTCAATTCTCGATTTGACATCCTCGTCCGTTCCACGTACCTGTAGTTAAGACAATGCTCCCTAGCTGGATAAGTGAATGAAGTAACCTCTTTCAAATCCCTCCCGTTGATGGTGATTGGCGCTGGATGTTGCTGCTGTTGTTGTTGTTGGTTGGTTGGTTATTTTCATAACCTCCATCTTGTCTATGTTCACCTGGAGTCCTGTGTTTGCTGCTTCTTCGACCGGTTTGTCGGTTTTCGCTTGTAAGTCTTCCATTTTGTGTGACATCAAACATAAATCATCCACGCGCGAAATCCAGGTCTTCTAGATTCTTCACGTCGGTCCAAGATATCCCTGTCTTCTCGTTTCTCACTGTCTTACGACGCATAATCCAGTCCACCACAATTAGGAATATCATTGGTGATAATAAGCACCCTTGTCTGACTCCTGTGTTTACTCCAAACGCTTCGCTGAGTTTTCCGTTGTGGATCACTTGACATGTGCCGTTGTCGTACAGTTGTTGAATAAGGTTGATGAATATTTGCGGTACGCCGTAGTACTCGAGTAGTTTCCAAATTACTTCGCGGTCAACGCTGTCGAAGGCCTTCTCAAAGTCTATGAAGTTGAGGTAGAGATTTGATTGCCATTCCATGCTTTGTTCGATGATAATGCGTAGAGTTGCAATTTGGTCAGAACATGATTTGCATTTCCTGAATCCAGCTTGTTCTGGTCGGAGTTCTGTATTCAGTGCGTCCTTTATTCCCTTCAGGATGATGTGACTCAGGATTTTACTTGGCGTCGACAGGAGCATTATTCCTCGCCAGTTCTTGAAGAGTCCTAGGTCGCTCTTCTTTGTTAGTTCCACGAGGTAACCTTTCCTCCAGTCAGCAGGCACCTTTCCCTCCTTCCAGACTTTTTGCAATAATGGAGTCAGCGAATGAATAAATAGGAAATGTTGATGTTTATTGAGGATACAGTAATTTCTTGACTGATATTAAGTCATTTCAGGTTCTTGTTACTTTAAGCTTGTCTGGTCACTTATAGTGATAGTTAACTAGTTTACTGACACATGCTAAAGGAAACCTCAGCATGTATACAAAAGCTTCTTGTACAGTATGCCAAACCACACCATTTCTGAAAGAAAAAACCTCCTTCACCTGCCTACCTGGGAAGCATCGTTTCAACTACAGGCAGGCCGAACTGACGAGGATATCAAAGGAAGGATCGGAAAAGCAAGACAAGCTTTCACTACTCTCAAGTCTGTGTGGAGGTCAACAGCCAGCACTCAGCATCAAAAATAAGATCCGGATTTTCAACTCAAATATGAAGTCAGTGCTAGGCACGTCATAAAGAACATCTCAAACAAACTACAGACCTTCACTAACAGTTGTCTTCGCTCAGTACCACTCAAGATCAGATGGCCGGCCAGAAAAGATCAGCAACAGGGTGGGATCTCTGGGAGCGAACCAACGCAGCAGGAACCGATTGCGAAACAAATAGGCAGGAAGAAATGGAGATGGATTGGATTGTGGCCATACTCTGAGGAAACCATCAAGTGAGTGACATCACCAAACAAGCCATTGCTCGATGGGAACCCGAAAGGGGGGAAGCGGCGAGTTGGTCGTCGTTGCAGGGGTGACTTGGAGGAGGTCATGTGAAGAGCAGATGAAAGCGTGTGGCCAGACTTGGAGCCAGGTGAAGACTCTAGCAGAGAACCGAACGCAATGGAGACTTGGGCGGCTGAAGCCCTATGTTCCTCTAGGAATTAAAGGAAACAATAATAATAATACACCATTTCTGGCTTGTTAAACGTGATATCCGGCTGGCTATCAATCAAAGGATGTATGTGTTGCTTAGCAGTTTGCCTTATCTAGTTTTATGGTTGTGAGTGAGGCATGGCCATTGAAAGTGGAAGATATGAAAAGTCAGACTAGCTATCATCTTTGATCATGCATATCTGCGTTCTATCTCCCATGCTACGTGGTGGTATAATAGGTTGGTGAGTAATATTGAGGTTGAGCATCGACTGTTAGGTAAGGAGAGAAGCTACATCAGTTGAGATAGATGGCTAGGACATGTGCTACGCATGCATGCATGACTAGCCATCACCTTCACTGCCACTGATATACGATGCATCTGGTTGGAAAAGAGGTAGCCAGTGTTGGTGGTGGTGATGGGACGGTGATCAAACCAAAACATGCTTTCATCATCAGTCAATGAAATCCACAACAGTTAGTTTAAGCCAGCCAGCCAGCTGGCCAGTCACGTAGGGAGATGACTGCATGGTTGGGCTCTTTTCTGGATGCTAAAATCCAATGAAGTCTTCAGACAACTGGTGATATGGCTGGCTGGAAATCGTTCTCGACGATGGCTGGAGCTGGCGCAGATGCATTCACTCTTCGTGATGATTTATCATATCCAATAAAACTCTGCCATTGTTCTTCCATTCCCTCACTCACACTTCCGTTTATTATCTGTCTCTCTCTCTGTCTGTTTTGAATCTCTCTTTACTCTCTTCCCTTGCTTTGTGTGGAACATGGAGGGAGTGTGGCAACTCGAAGAGCTGTACTTCTGTGCAAAGTTCTATGTCGGAACCAATCAACCATGCATCAGAAATTACTTATTTTGCATTATCTAAAGTTTGGCTTGTAAGGGTTAGTTATGTTTTTACGAGTTGATCACGCACTGATATCAGTTAGAGAAACATTGAAAACCAGCATCGGAGTACTGCCAGACAGCTGCTGTTTCATCCTAGTTTGGGAATCATCGGCAGTACGCATCTACTGCACCGGGATTCGAACCCAGGACCTTCCGGTTATAAGGCAAGCTCGTATACCATTCAGCCACTGGGACCCGATTCAATGGCTCATGAATTCTAACTTCTACCGATTCGTGATTAAGCGCGACCCCAACCATTGTCGTTGGTGGGACATCCATCCACACACGTGACATCTAATTGGACCTCACTGGTCACGACTTCTCACTAGAACTCCAGGAAACTCCATCCTGTAGCAAGTCACTAGCGAGCGTCAGATTAATTTTCTATGGTTTGGTTTGTAAGGGTTTGTTATGTTTTTACGAGTTGATCACGGACCAGTGAGGTCCAATTAGATGTCACGTGTGTGGATGGATGTCCCACCAACGACAATGGTTGGGGTCGCGCTTAATCACGAATCGGTAGAAGTTAGAATTCATGAGCCATTGAATCGGGTCCCAGTGGCTGAATGGTATACGAGCTTGCCTTATAACCGGAAGGTCCTGGGTTCGAATCCCGGTGCAGTAGATGCGTACTGCCGATGATTCCCAAACTAGGATGAAACAGCAGCTGTCTGGCAGTACTCCGATGCTGGTTTTCAATGTTTCTCTAACTGATATCAATCCGTGATCAACTCGTAAAAACATAACTAACCCTTACAAGCCAAACTATAGAAAATGTTACACTGCAAAACTACTGTATGAAAAGCGGGGTTCAGAATCACGAGTCATTGCTTCAAGTTGATGACGGAAATTCGGACTAATGAATGGATAAATGAAGAGTGGTTTATTTTGGTTGAATACAAGGGAGTAAACTGCGTCAGTGATGTAGCGGTTAGGACGCTCGCCGACCATGCACATGGTCCAGCGTTCGATCCCCGGGCGACGCACTCCTTTGCCTCACTAAACCAGAAATAAAGCTGGTAAAGAGGATAGGTTGGGAATGAGGATAGCAACTCCATCCTTTAAAAATAAACACTGCCACAGAAACTTCAAGTCTCCAGCTTGAAGCCCTATGTTCCACTGGGGAACGTGAAGGAAATAAAAAAAACAAGGGAGTAACCAATGTCATACACGTTTAGTCCTTCAATGGTGAAGCCACCATGCAACTAGATGGCTGGCTCGGTATCACGATGCACTGAGAATTGTTGGTATTAGACAGGAAGTCTATTTTGCATTAAACTGGAACAAAAAAAACAAAATATATTTTCTATATACGGGATATTAGCAGTAAGAAAACAAACGATCGATAGACTAACTATATGTTGACGCTTAAACTTTGCATAGAAATCAATCTTACAAAGCCGGTCATAATTGATCGAGAAAGTGTAAACAGAAACGATAAATAAACAATGAAAAACATAAATATAGGGAAAGAGAGAGACAAAGAAAGAGAGAGAAAAGTTGATGAGAACCAATAGAAATGTCCAGATTTCCTAAAGGTAACGAATAGATAAATCTAAAAACAATACAAACTACTTTCAAGCAATGTTCCCGACAATTATTGACCAGCCAGTATATCTATACCTATTTTTCATGACCAACACGGATGACCTAAGACTTCCTCCTCCAGGTATGGTCAGACTTCTTAGTTAAAGAAAAAGGCACAAACAGCGAAGAAGAAAATTTTCTTTTCGACGATTCATTCATTTTCATGAGCTGCTGTACAATCGTAATTATAATTTTACAAAGAAATCTTTAGACCAATCAGATACTTCGACAACACAATAAGAAGACGTGTAGTCTATCTGAAACGTGTAATGTATTGGCGCAACACATT